GTCGGCTTATTATATCAGAGAAAATGCTAAAAATCTTCAGAGATACTCTTATAGTGTCGCAAAGGGTTGTACCACCCCTGTAGGAACCCTGAGTCTCATGTCTGGTCATGCCCTCCACTAAAATCTATACCGTGTCAAAAGGTTGACCTGCTGCCACTTAAAAATGTTATATCTACCCCTGCCATTTTCATAAATCAGTGGAGTCCTGGAGTATATCCTTCAACTAACGTTGGTGTAACTTGATATTCGTGAGGGGTTCATGTCTCGAGACATTGGACTGCAACTTTAGTTTGTTCTTAAGAACAAGAGAAGAGTTGAAGGGTGCATTTTGTCTGGGCTGTTGCTAGGAGAAGGCAGGCCAAGCTTACGTCCGCCACACAGTTCAATAAATCCTCTATATTCTGTAGTGAGTACAGCCAACTGACAATCATCATCACGGAATTATTACGCTACCGCTCGGCCAACGTAATTCAGTCGACCCACCAACATCTTGGGTCAAGACCGCGACAAAAATTTGGTGTCAGGTATGGGGTTGCAAATCTGCGAAGTGAACGAATTCTGCAGATTGTAACCAGTACAGATAGAGGAAGAACTCCTTAAGCACAACCAGCAAGGTGACCGGTAGCGACCAAGCGCGCTATCGACATTAGCAGAGTGGAGGACTGGCAATTGGCGTACGTGATAGCGTGTGGGCCATTCCCGAAGGAGGTCATCAGCAGGACTATTTCCAAGAAAGTGTCGATCCGGGGAAGTTGGTTTCCCATTGCTGTGCAGTACCAGGGCGATTCCAAGAAGGGGACGTCATTCCTCCGGTGGAGGAGGTGAGCTGTTGTCGACGTGACGCCGTTAGACTGGCCAAGAGTTGGTGTCCGAGTCCGAGTTGCCAGATGGTGTGTCCAGCTTCGCTTAAGAGGCAAGCGAGGCGCGAAGACGACCACTGGAGGAGGGAGCAATCCAGTGCACAAGGTAAGTCACTCTCGACAACCCGTTCCTTCTGTCCACGTCTGTATACCTGAAGAAATGGCTGACGAATATATAAGTGTCAGTGATGCTTTCAAATTGGTAGCTGAACCGTTTAGCGGGGACAAACGCAAATTGAAAGAGTTTTGCGAAAATGTCGATGCAGCTTTTGGGCTAATTGACCGTAATAAATGTGATTTATTTTACAAGTATGTACGCACTCGTATAACAGGCGAGCCGAAGGCAAAATTACTTGTTCGCCAAGATGCCCATGATTGGGCTAGTGTTAAGGCCGTACTGAAGGAGCACTATGCTACTAGGAGAACATTAGATTTTTACGCTTGCACCATGTTCAATGCCCGACAAGCCAAACATGAAACAGTAGCTGAAAGGTGCAGTAGGCTTGACCAGTTGAGTTCAGACTTCAGAGACGCGGCTATAGAAGGCGCGACTTCGTCTGAAATGTGCGGTATCACAAAGTTGGTATCCAAGTTAGGCAAGACAGGTTTCATAGAGGGGCTAGCGAATGAACAGATACCGTAGTTCGTGCTAGGAACCCTACACACATTACAGAAGCCGCTGAGATAGGTACTGAGGAAGAAGGCGCATAACTTTCTGCTAAAGAAAAAGCATATAGCGTATCTCAGTACAATGACCGAAGTAAGGATGTTCGTTGCAGTAACTGCCGACGTTTCGGGCAAGTCGATAGAGGTAAAAGTGGCAGCTCCTGCAGAGAAAGTTTCTAATTTTTGTAATATGCCAGGTCATGTCGCATGAGTTTGGAATACACGCTCAGGCAGCCAACTGACAATAATCATCACTGAATTATTACGCTACCGCTCGGCTAACGTAATTCAGTCAACCCACCAACATCTTGGGTCACGGCAATAGAACTGTTGGGTAATTTAAAATATATGGAAAGTTTCCAAATCCCAAAAATATTTCCAGACAATCGGTCGAAAGGAATCAGACCGAGGACGTCCAGGGATTTTTTTCGATGTGCCAGAAATTTTAATGGCTGCGTGCAGAAACTGGCCAGGCCAAGCGGGCTAGCGTCTGCAGCCCGGTTAGGATTGGAACTCACCATCGCAACGCATGAGGCCACCAAGTCGGCTGACTTCATCCTTTCTGAAACGCAGCAAGAAGGAATCCGAAATTAGCGTACGTTTATCAGTTTCCAGTAATTCAAAGTATTGTAAGGTTGCCTCTGTCGCGGAAGCGGAAATGAGAAGCAAGAATATAATGTAGTTTCATGTTCGGATTTTACTTCCTGAAATTCAGCATGAGTAAATGTTGCTGTCATAGGGAATTAACTGTGACCGTCCACAGAATATATTATCACATGTACGAGTGACTATAGACGGGGTTCGGATTGGTAATTGGATTTACTGAACCCTTACAGATCGTAACTACACGTAATTATAGCGCTATCGCTAATTCAAACAATCTACAGCTTACTATAGCACGCACTAAGCCTCCTCAGTCTTCTGTGTCTTCACCGGTTGTCTGGTAACGGCTTCAACGCCATAGCATCCTCAGCTTCCGTGTTCACGTCCTTACTGGCCGGCGTATTTCTCACAACTAACTAATTGCCCTGCTTATAACACCTCCGCACAGACCGCATAGAGAACACCGCTCGTCATTGTAGTTCAGTTGTTGCCGTGGGAACATGTTTGCTTGCGAAGCCGTTACTCAGTAACGGCTCCCCTAGCAACGGGTCCACATGCTACAATATGAATGATATTCTGAGAGACTACTGCAGAAAATAAAACACGAAAGGAGACAGAGAGATGAGAAGAGAATAGAAGCTGCTAGTGTGCCTGCAGCATCTCCAGGGGCGTAGGCAACCGAGCAGTACATGACAGACTTCATTTGTAGCTAAGGTTCGGAGAACAAAGGACATTTGCATTAATGCCTCTGATAGTGCCATAGCTCAAGCGGTTAGTCGCTGGCTTCCCACCGCGGCGGCCCGGGTTCGATTCCGGGTCTGGTCAAGTGGGATTTGTGGTGGACAAAGTGACGCTCGGGGCAGGTTTTCTCCGAGTACTTCAGTTTCCCCTGCCAATCTTCATTCCACCAATTATCCTCACCTACCATCTGGAGCTGGTACAATAGGCCAGAAGTGGCCTCAGTACAAGGGACTTAGTCCCACCCCACTAGCAATAAAACAGAAGCCCTCTTATAACCCTGACTGGCACTGTGAGAGCACCATCTTCTACAGCCGTGGTAGTAAAGCCGTTCTTTATACAAATTAATTTATAACTCTGTCTTTCGGGTGAAGTGTGCAGTTTAAAGTTATCTAGAACATAATTATGGAAGGGGGATAGCTAAGTAGGTATAGCAGAGGGCTTCGGTGTGGAGGCCGGAGTTCGATCCCCGGCAGATACAATAGATTTTTCTGTACTGCGTAGAGCTGAAACTGGCTCTGAGGCCCACCGAGAGTCTTATATACTGAGTGGCGGGGCTAAAGCATTCGGGGCGTGAAGCTGACGACTCACCCCATCTAGTTCCGAGGTGATGGAGATATGCCTCCGCTCCCCCATACAACTCTTCATGGCGTGGTGCTTAATGGATTAAGCACAGGGAGAACTTAACGTTTTTTTGCCTTTAAAACGTAAGTATAGCTCACGGACCAGAATTCCTGTCTGTTCAACAAGATCTCAGGGTCGTTGATTTTGGTTCTTCCTGTATTTTGGAAACACACTGTAGTACATTTAGAATAATGACGTAACGAAATGCGTAACTTTCTGATGATGATGATACTGCCTCTGAGGTATTTTAGACACAAAATAGTGTACATATGTAATTGGGAGGCAATTCTCAGTTATTTAGTTTACATATTTACAGTTTGTTTAGAAGTGCTGTGAATGACCTCGAGGATCATATTGTAGCAGTGCAGGCAGATTTTGTTGGGCATCTGACTAGTGCCAGACGCTGTCATGTAGCAATATACGCAGGTGCTCAGAAACCACTGTCGTTTTAGACGTTCTTCGTAAATGAAATCCCTCAGGAACACGCTGGAGGCGATTTCCAGAGATTATCGCAATTGCCAATGCCGCAGCACGTCCGAGGGGACTCACCAACTTGACTCGTTCGACTGATAAGGAATTTACATCCGATCATTTGAATTGGTGGTTCGTTGTTATAAGTATTCGTGGGGATGCGAACGTCATCAGAAATTCTATCTTGACTCGAGATTTTGGACAAATCCTGCCAACCGAGTTTGTTTCAAGAGTTGCTCTCGGAGAACAGACGCCCTTGAAGGTTCTGCATCCAAGTGAACGTCTAGCTCTGACGACTATGTGTAATCAAGTGTCAGATTGATGTTCGGCAAACAACAAAATAACTGCGTGTATCAATCACGAATCGGACAGCCGACACTCCTTGGATCCCGCGCTGTAATCCTTAACTTCCACTGCGCACATTCCACATTGCTCTACCGGAATTACTGCTTATCTTACCTGAGAAACGGTTGCAGTTACGGGGTGTGGTGCACAGCTTTGAGACTGCGGTGATCAGCTCGGAGCAGCTACAATATTGATGGCGATTTTCTGAATCATGTAGAATCATACGCGATTAAGGAACTGAAAAGGGTTTGGTAGAAAATTTCGTGACCTATTTAGCGGTATTGCCCAAACATTTGCCTGGAGGAAATAAGGAAAACCAAGAATAAACTCGGTTAAGTCAGTCAATGTCCCTGCCGAGGTATTAATAGAGCACTTCCTTAACCGACCAAGCGAACTGTGGTAACAGTGACGCTGTAGAATTGTATTCGGTTCGAATCTTGTCCTGCACACCATTATCCTGAATTAGTTTTTCGTGTTTATCCTCAGTCCCTCATACCAGGATAGTACCTCTATTGGGCGATGACCACATATTTCCAGCTCCTTTTCACTGCAGCATCCACAACCCATCCCGTCGTCTGGGATATGGCAGCGTCGTAGACTGACCCCCCAAAGGCGGAAACTTGTCCCGATGCGCATGATCCCGCGGGGGTCCGTTCAGCACAGCACGTGCAGCGCGGGGCGATGGAGCCTTACCTTTTGGTCTCGACCTTCGGAGAAATTCGGCACGCACTCCACGACCTGATGCATGTCTTCCTTCACTGCGGAACGCGGTGGCAGCGCTGCTGTTTAGGGAGCAAACAGTCACAGACTGGGGTTCCGATCGAACCGCGAGGAAACGTCGTCACCTGCAGAAACAGCTTCTCTTTCCACAAGCCTACAGCGTCGTAACCTTCAGAGCGAGAGTGTGATAAGGCACTCATTCGCGAATTCGATGCGCTTTTTCCCTGGCTCTTTGCCTTATTTCTTGGACATGAAACGCGTGCGCATCTTCGTGATTGGTAATCCAACTGTGGCGTGTACAGCCATTGCTATGCAACGACCGCGAGATAAACAGATATACCAGAGCCGTTTCTAGGCAACGGCTCGGGAAACAAGTTGCCGTTGCAACGAATATGCATGGAAAAGGGGTGTTTCTGCGTGGTCCGTGCTGAGATGTTATAAGCGAGGGACATGGTTAGAGTCAGTTGTTAGTCTGTGAAGAGGAAAGCAGGAGTTTGGTATGAGAGGGCCGCCAGCCTGGGAGTTAAGAGGACTGCTGGAGTTCAGATGTCAGCTGAATCTGGTAGCTGAGGTACGGCGATAGCTCGAGAAACCAGAATAATGGGACGTCCACCAATGAAGCCGCTACCAGGCAACGGCAAGTGGAGACTGTAATAGACTGAGGATACTACTCTGTGTGTGATAGAGATCTGTAATGTGTAGTCACGGGTCGTGTGTAGAAATGGTCAGTAAATCGAATCACCAATCCAAACCCCGTCTGTAGTGACACACATACACGTGACACTATTTTATATTCAGAGATTTTAGTCATGGCTTCCTCAATCTCTCCAAGAGAACACAGAATGTTATCTCTTCTTTGCCACATGCCATTTCATTCAGCGATGTACAGTTCTAATTTATTTAGTTTCTGGGGGGGGGGGTGAGACTGAGTCCACTTGGTACGTTGCCCACTCTTTGGCGCCGGATTTTAGATGATGAGTGTGTAGCAGTTGGTAGAATAACAATTGGCAGGGCAAACCGAAGTACTCGGAGAAAACCTGCCCCAGTGCCACTTTGTTCACCACAAATCCCACATGATCTGACCTGGACTCGAACCCGGGCCACCGCGGTGGGAAACAAATGACTAACCGCCTGAGCTGTGGTAATGCCTCAACGATATATAACTTAAGGAAATGACAAAAGATCGTTAAATAAACCGAAATATGTCTGGTAGGCGACTTGATTTCAGACAATGGCCAAAGCACAAAAATCCAGAAATCTAAAAATGAACCCCGCCTGGCAAATGTCACTATGGTACTCCCACACAGATCCGTGAGCCGGCCGCGGCTGAAGATGCTCCCGCACTTCCAGACTCACAGCGTGTCGCAAGTTTCAGTACCCAGTGTCACTGGGCCTCGTATTAAGGACGCATAGGTAGTTGTATAGGCGAGCTTGACGCTTCGGTCGCTTTATCTTCGACAAAAATAAATCCAGTGGGCAAATGCATGGGAAAGGGTGGGACCCACATAATTTCATTGAATGGCGTGTCTTCTTCGTTGTACTGCGGCCCGATTGGTGGCGTGTACTTAGTTCACCGAGACGACAGGAACCCCGATATGGGAGATAAGTTCGTCGCACGCAGACACCTGCACGAAAGGCAACACAGAAATCGTGGACAAACTGACAGCCTGGACCCTGCTTGGGAGGCCCGTGATCATGCGGTTAGTTTTGTTGACACTAACTTCATGGAGCTGAGACCTCCTTGAGACTCCGCCAGTTGTGCAGCTACTCAAGAACTTCCCAACATTTTGTGGAACCCGAAGTTTCATTACCGTGTTCACAAGAGCCCTCCACTGGTCCCTATCCTGAGCCAGATCAATCCAGTCCATACCATTCCATCCTATCTCTCTAAGATTCATTTTAATATTATCAACCCACCTACATCTTGGTCTTCCTAGTGGCCTCTTTCATTCTGGCTTTCCCACCAATATCCTAAATGCATTTCTGTTCGCACCCATTCATGTTACATGCCCTGCCCACCTCATCCTCCTTGACTTGTTCATTCTAATTATACTCTGAGAAGAGTACAAGTTATGAAGCTCCTCATATGCAGTTTTCTCCAACCTCCTGTCACTTCATCTCTCTTCGGTCCAAATATTCTCCTCAACACCCTGTTCTCAAACACCCTTAGTCTAAGTTCCTCCCTTACTGTCAGAGGCCGAGTTCCCTGTTGTCAAACACCCTCAGTCTATGTTCCCCCTTACTGTCAGAGGCCGAGTTCCCTGTTCTCAAACACCCTCAGTCTAGGTTCCTCCCTTACTGTCAAGAGGCCGAGTTCCCTGTTCTCAAACACCCTCAGTCTATGTTCCTCCCTTACTGTCAGAGGCCGAGTTCCCTGTCGTCAAACACCCTCAGTCTATGTTCCTCCCTTACTGTCAGAGGCCGAGTATTTGCGTTGACTTCAAGTTCTAAATTCAGCTGAAACAAACGGTTTTAATATATAGAATACCGTCTTCTGGGATGTGGCGCGGTGTAGATGTTGTGTGAACTGACGTTTCGGAGGAACGTCTTCAGAGTGGAAAAATCCGCGAGAGGGGAACCAGCTTGAGCAGGTGGCTGCGGATTTTTCTACCCGTGAAAACCTCAAATCTGACAGAGCGTAGAAACATTTGAAATGGTCGAATTAAGTGCGCCTACCTCACAGCTTGGCAGAAGTCCGGTCCCTGAAGTTGAGGGACACCGCCTCTCCCTGGGTTACCCTGGACACCCCTGAGGGTGCAGAATCAGTCACGAGGATTGTCTTCCCACCCTGAAGACGTTCTTGCCTGCATCTGGCGGACTCAGACCGGTTTGTCCTGTTGCCAGAGCTGCATATTAATGACTTCATTTGCATTATTAAATAATACGTTTAAAAATAAAACCTACGCATAGTACAGTCCCGGCTGAAAGTTGTCTTCCTGTATCCTGAGACGCGTGGGTAAAGTAGGCCAACAGACAGCGAGCAAGGCCATCTCCCGTTAAGCGAGCATTCGTTCCTCCTCTTCTTTTTCTTTACTGTCTTCCTGTTCTCCCTTTTCTTTGTTGTTTCTCATCCTTTTTCCTCACCTCCTTTTACTGCAACTTCTTTTCCATAACCCTTTCCCTCTACGCAGGCACGCGGTAGCGCAGCTGGTTGAGGCACTATGCAGCAAGCCGGAAGGTCGCGAGTTCGATTCCCGATGATATTGGATTTTTCAATTCACCTAATCCTTCCAGCCGCACTATGACCCTGCGGTCGTCTCAGCCTTTAACAGAAATGAGTACCAGGAATCTTCCTTGGGGTAAAGGGCTGCAACCTCACGGGAGCCGATTTTCTACAAAATGTGGGAACCGCGAGCCCCACAACCCTGTGTACCTCCACGGCCTGTTGCCTTATATTCCTGTCCCACTTAGGATAAGACCTGTAAAACCGAATCCTACCAAAGACGAAAAACTGAAGCTGAAAGTGCTGTCGTGCCGACGGTTTGCACCATCCGAATTAGGTACATGTGAGTGGACGCTGAGGTCACAGCCAACGCGTAGGGTGGAAGATGCGACAATTACACCAGAACAATTCACAGCTTTACTGCTTAGGGTGCGGATGTGGCGACCAGCAGTCCGTTGGACATCGAGTCAGATGAGATGGGTGAAGAGCACAGGGTGTGTATGTGTCAGTCAAACGCGGTACCCTCTCTCCCACAGTGCAGCTTATCATACTCCTCGTGTCCAACCAGACGGGCCAGTTCTCAAAGCGCGCCCTGTGTATAAAGTTCAGGTGAACTATCAGTCATTAATATGGTCGTCATGTGCTAGTTACACTGTGCAGTGTGCACTGTGACGGATTTTAATGAAATTTAGTACACACGTTACGTTTTAGCTGCGGCTGTACGTTATTAGCTTCTGCGCAGAATCGAAACGTCATTCCTGCCATAGCTCGGGCAGTTCGCTGTCAGCTACCCAACGCGTAGGTCAGGGTTCAATCCCAGCTCAAGTCAAGTGGAATTTCTGGGGCGGTTTTTCTCCGAATACTTTGATTTCCCCTGCCAGTTCTCATTCTACTAGCTGCTCCCAGTTTCAACCATCAGCCGGGGCTGGTACAAGGGGCCTATTAGTGGCCGGGGTTCCAAGTGGACTCAGTCTCCCCCACCCCACCCCACCCCACAAATTAAAACGTCGGAAATACTATGCAGTGGGGTGACGGATTAGGCTGTCTGACCTGTACCCATTCAGAATTAAATAATTCTGAAATTTGAACCTTATAGACAGGCGTTAGGACTCCTTGGCCGGAGGATTAGACCTGCCGCAAGGCCACTTACTTACTTACTCATGGAGCTGAGCCCTTCTTGAGTAGCCGCCAATTCTGCAGCTACTCAAGAATTTCCCGGCCATTTATGGAACCCGAAGGTTCATCACCGTGTTCACAAGAGCCCTCCACTGGTCCCTATCTGAGCCAGATCTATAGAATCCATGCCATTCCATCCTATCTCTCTAAGATCCATTCTAATATTATCCACCCACCTACGCCTTGGTCTTCCTACATACACACACACAGAATAAACGTGGACAGACATCCATATCTCGAGTAGAATTCGAACCCATGATTCCAGTGGTCGGGCGAGCGAAGACGGTTAATGCCTTAGACCGCGCGGTCACTCTGATCGGCTTCCTGTTTGCTGCAGTGTAGGCAAGTACACGGACTTGAGACAGAACGTCGCAACCACTACAACTGACAGTTCCCATGGTAACCACAGCAAGTTTATTTATTGATTTGCGCTACATGTAACGACTTTGTCCGTAAGCGTCAAGAGGCATATACTAGTATAATAAGCAACGGATAGGAAAGGCTGTAGACTGAAGCGCTCGTGTCCTGCTTCGAGGCACTTTTCTGACATTCGCCTGAACTGAGTGGAGAAAACCACGAATACCCTCACAGACAGAGGTCAAGATTTGAAGCAGGGACCTCCAGAAAACAACTCGACCACGATGTTGTGTACATTGACGCAAGTAACCACAGCATCGGTCTGTCGAACTTCATGACATGTCCCAGTTCGCGGCGACTTGTAGCAACTGTGAACATGGTGAAGTTGCCCATGTGCTT